CGTTTTGACTCGAAATACTACTAATCAATTATATATATATATATATTGATGAGTAGTATTTTTAAAAAAAATAATTTACTAGAAGGCTACAAAGATTCATAATCAATTAAGAGTATTAATTAAGAAAATAGTATAAAAATTATTAAATCAAATAAATTTTTAAATCTTGCCCCATCCCTTAACATCTTATTGTGTTTAATATAAACAATAATTTTTAAATCTTGTCCCATCCCTTAACATCTTATTGCTACTTTATTAGAATTGTCAAAACGACTCTTTGTTCGTGAATAACTCATGTTCAGCTCGCTAAGCAAATGAGCCGAACACGGAACACACTTTTTGAGCTCGAAATATAAACGAGCCGAACACGAGCTGAGTCTGGCTACACCCCTAGCTCAAAAGAAGAGTTTGCCGCAAATTGAATTTGCCAATAATAATGTGGTATTCGAAACAATAAATATATAACATAATTAAATATTAAAAATTATTTTAAGTTTTAAATTCCTACGAATTTTCTTATTATTTTAAAAGACTTCTAAAACGAAGAGAAAATACTGCACCCAAATGATCACAAATCACAGCGGCAACCGGCAAGGCCCTCATGCCACTTTTCCTTTCAAAAACTTTCTCAATATGGTACTAAATGTTAAAATGAGAAGGGAAGATTTTATGCATATTTACAATCATACCACCCAATTCTTATGTGTTTGCCTGTCTATGCTAAATGAGGAGGGAGCGGGTTTTCAAGGTGAGAAAATGTTACCTCAGGACTCCGCTGAGATAGTTGCCTGCAGAGTCCAATCAGGAAAAACCACGTTGAATCCTGTCTCGCGGGTGAAAATAAGGGAAAAAAACAAACTTTCGCTTTCGATCCGGCCCGAAATACAACCCAATCAATTTTCCGACAGCTTTCATAAAATTATTTCGCATCTGATGGAATTATTAATGTTCTATTGCGAGCTGAAGAAATATTTCGCAGCTCCGAACGCATTAAGCTAGTGTTTTTGGAAGAAATATTTTTTCTGATTTTTGTGTTTGGTTTTGAAGGACTTCTACATTATACATTAGTCCGGAATTTTATTTTTCTTATATAAATTATTAATAAATATACGTTAATACATCTAAAAAAATTGTTTTTGTTTTATAACACACTAATAACTCATAATAACTCATAATAACCCATAATAACACACAAATAACTCATAATAACACATAATAATACACTAATAACACATAATAACACATAGTAACACACAAATAACTCATAACAACACATAATAACACACTAATAACACACTAATAACACATAATAGCACAAGTACACACTCCATAGCCTGCAGCATAACACGTGGGGAATATATTCCCTGCGTGTTATACCACGGGTTATAACAACACCCCACATGTTATACAGTCGTCATATAACACTACCCTAGCCTACGGTATAACACGCAGAGAATATTCCCCACGTGTTATACCGCGGGCTAAGGATTGTGTACTTGTGTTATTAGTGTGTTATAATGTGTTATTATGTGTTGATATGAGTTATTAGTGTGTTATTATGTGCTATTATGAGTTATTTATGTGTTATTAGGAGTTATTAGTGTATTATTAGTTTGTTATTAGTGTGTTATAAAACAAATAACAATTTATTTAGATGTCGTAACTTATATTTATTAATAAATTATATAAAAATAAGAAAATTTAGGACAGATGTATAATTGAGAAGTCCATCGAAACCAAACACACACCCAAAGAAATATTTCTTCCAAAAATCTTAGTTGCATGCATTCGGAGCTGCGAAATATTTGTCAGCTTGCAATAGAACACTAGCGACTCCATCGGGTGCAAAATAATTTTATGAAAGTGGCGAGAAATTGATCAGGCTGTGGTTTGGGTCGGGTCGCGTGCAAAGTTTTTTTTATTTTTCCTATTTGTAGTTGTGGGGCCGAGATTCGAGTGACTTCTGTTAATTAGACTCCGCAGGCAACTCTCCCCGCGAAGTCCTAAGGTTATATTTTTTCTTTCAAGGTAGGCGAAAATTTTCCAAGAGAATTTCCATACATAACTCATATGTATTTACATATACAATATATAAATGCCAATAATAAGGGTGGGGATGCATGACAAAAAATTTCATGGGGCAGGCTCTTAAAATCAAACTTGATGAATCTAAATTTGTCCTGTGTGGCATGCCCAAGGATCGTAGCAATATGGACCATGAGAGAGAGATAGAGCATAGACAGAGAGGGAGAGAGGAGAGAGTGCACACAGACCCGTCCTCTATGGAGAGAACTCTATCCCCTTCTCTTGTAATCGTCACTTCTAATATATGAAATGGGTCACAGAGCATAGGAACACCCCACTCGCCTCTCACGGGCATGCCTTTGTGTACCCTCTCCTTCTCTCTCTCTCTCTCACACACACACTCTCTACCTCTCCCTCACAGTTCCTACCATTCTAATCTTTGGGCATGCCTCACAGGACAAATATGGATTCAACATTCTAAAAGTGTGGTGAGCATGGAGCATGCTACCAACAAAAATGGAAGCGACACCAACGAGGAAAAAATACACAGTTGAGACACTCTTAACAGGGAGCCACCTAGGAGATCATGTAGCAACATATCTAGAGGCCAAAAAACCTATTTTTGTTGCCTTCCAAGAAGCTTTAGCTCGGAAGAGAGAACCACAGAACGAACGAATAGTTCCTAACTGTCGGAACAGTCTCCCGGAGAAGGCTGACCAATGATATTTGACAACGCTTGGTTGATTCCGAACGACTGACACCCCGCTTAATAAATAAAGGAAGTATCCTTTGTGCCATGATACATAAATCCTTTTGAAGTTTCCCTACGTCCAATTGACACTTGGAGAACTCAAAACTAAGTAGCAACGTGGACAATGACCCTAAAGAGGTCTACTTGGCAGAACAACCCAAAACACTCCTGCATCATAAACCTTTTTATGCAAACTTGAATCAAATAAAAATTTGGAGGTGGTCCCTGCCTAGTAGTGGCAAACTCCAAGAAGGGTATGTTGCAAATCACCCTAGAAGTAAGTTTCAGTGATTACCCCCATACAGGCAGCGACAAGTTCTATTTAATTCTTGTTGAAGGGTAACGTCCAACTGAGACGACGATCCAACCAAGTAACTGAGAACCTAAAAAGTTCCAATATCATAAAATATATTGGCAGCGACACCATAGACATCCGAACGGTAAAAAATAATACAGATTACAGGCTGTGATGCCATAGATGCCAGCTCAGTGCTCTAACACAAAATTCTACCCTTAACACGAAGCATAAAAAAACCCATCTTAAAGTTCAACATGGATAAGGCCGTAGAGGTATTTCCTTCCTCAGTAGTGACAAGCTTCAAGAAGAGTACAATACAAATTACCCCAGTTGCAAGTCTCGTCAGTTACCTGTCTAAGGCATCAATCCGACTGAGCGAATGAGGTAGGTAGTAAAATACTTGTGTCGGACCATGACATTACAAAACAATCGACGATTGTTTCATAAATATAATCAACCAATACCAACATTTATTACCAAGTAATTATCACCAAAAAATAAAATGGTAAAGGTAAAATAATAAAGAGAAGCAAAGGTATACAAAAAAATTGAGAAGCTTCATTCATTTATAAACGTAAAAAATATATCAAACTTTTCTATACAAAAGATTTCATTTACACGATATATCTTTAAAAAAGTTTTTTTTTTCAAAAAATTTTTTTAAGTTTCAAGAGCACGACTAGAGGATCCTCCATCGCCTCCAACATCCAAGTCGTCCCTCGAAGACCCGTTGTAGCTAATGTACAGGGCAACAAGCTCATTCAACAA